AGACGTAACATAAATTATTACATTGAAATATTTTTAAAATATATCTCTCAAATAAAATTTGATGACGTGTATCACTATAAGGATGCAAACGGTGCTTATGAAGAATTTATTCATTTATTTAAACTTGTATTTGATCTTTGTATTCCAACTGAAAAAATTAAAATATTGTATAAAAAAGATACATCCTGGAAAACCAAAGGTATCATAGTCTCAAGTAAAAGTAAACGTAAAATGTACTTTCAAACAAAATACAGTGGCTCGCAGGAACAAAAAATTAAATACGTTTACTGCTGTAAAATCCTAAAGCGAGTAATAAAAGAGTCTAAAAGAATTTCTAATGCCAAATTTATCTCATCTAGTACAAACAAAACTAAAGCCACATGGGCATTAATTAAACGACAAACCCAAAGTACAAATATCCTTCAACCTACAATAGACTACATAGTGCAAAACGAAAATGTCATAAAGTCACCTGTAAAACTAGCAAGTACTTTCAACCATTACTATATTAACCAAAACAGTAACACATTAATATCAAACAACTATAAACCACAACACAGTTCTAACTCGAAAAGTATGTTCCTTTATCCAGTAGATAAATGTGAAATAATAAATATAGTTAAAAAATTAAAAAAACAAACCCAGCTATGGATATGATAATATACCCATTAAAGTAATCAAAGAAAGCATACCTTTTATTGCTGACCCGCTTGTACATATCATAAACGTAATGTTGGAAACGGGAGAATTTCCTAATAATTTAAAAAAAGCTCTCATAAAACCACTATATAAAAAAGGATCGCAGCACGACATAAATAACTATAGACCAATTGCACTGTTACCAAGTTTTTCGAAAATATTTGAAAAAGTAATATATATTAGAATCACAAAATTTTCGGAAATTAATAATATTTTAAATGTAAACCAATACGGATTTCAAAAGAATAAAACTACATCTCTGGCAATATATAAATTATTTAATAACATTTGGCATAAAATCAATGAAAAAAACCAATATGCTGCTCTTTTCATTGATATGTCAAAAGCATTTGACTGTGTAAAATATGATATTCTGTTAAATAAATTAGAAGGCATAGGAATAAGAGGACTAGCACTTAAATTAATAGAAAATTATTTAAATAATAGAATGCAAGCAACAGTTATAGAGATATATAATGAAACTACAAAAATGGTGGAGGTAGTTAAATCCGAATTTGAAAATGTAATACTGGGTGTACCCCAAGGCAGCATATTGGGGCCCTCTTTATTCCTATTATATATTAACGAGCTCCCAAACATAATTACCCACCTATGCGTAATGTATGTCGATGATGCAACTATATTTATTGCTAATGATGACTCAAATAATATTGATTATGAAAAGGAAATAAACAAAACATTGATAACAGTTACTGATTGGTTGCAGTCAATAAACTTGAAAGTAAACCTATCAAAAACCAAACTTATACAATTTAGAAATTACAAAAGTATACCTGCCAAACTAAATATAACCGTGACTGATATAGCCGTCGAAGAAGTAAAGAGCATAAATTTTCTAGGAATCGAAATAGATCAACATCTAAACTGGAAGGCACATATTGAAAAAATAAATAAAAAGATATCCAGTGCATGTTACGCATTGTCTATCCTGGCAGAGACTACAAATGTAAGTGTCACTAGAAATGCCTATTTTGGAAGCGTTTATCCACTCCTAACTTACGGTATCATATACTGGGGAAACTCAACAAATGTACAATCCACATTCGTTCTCCAGAAAAAATGTATTAGAACAATATATAATATGCATAGTACCGAATCGTTAAGAGATATTTTCAGAACGAAGGGTTTCCTAACATTGACTGGAATCTTTATCCTGGAATTATGCCTATTTGTAAAAAACAACATGCAATATTTTAATTTGAAATCTGATTTAAAGAAAAACCATCGTGAAAAATATAAATATGATATAAACTTACCTATTATTAGAAATATGATCTATTATAAAAGTACCTATATTACTGCTATCCGTGTATACAATCAGTTACCACTAGCTATTAAGCAATTAAATGGAAATATGTTCAAAACAAAATTAAGGAAATTGTTAATTGAAAATGTTTTTTACAATCTCAATGAGTATTTTAGTAAAAGTAATGTAGTAAGTAGTTAATTTTAAATTTATTTTTCATTGTTGCATATCCGACGTGGGTAGACTGTTGAGACTAAAACTATATGTTTTTCTATTAAGATCATATTGTACACAGTTATGCAATAAATGTATCTTTATCTTTATCTTTTGTGGAAGTGATATGGGGTATATATTTTATCTCTCTTCAGTGAAGTTTTTTTATGTATTCGGTTTCTTTAATTATTGTTTTTACCATTGGACTTGTTTACAGTGCTTTTTGCTAGTAAAATTAACAACAGTTTCCGCGACAGCCGACTGCACGACTATCTCACTTCTGTGTAAAGAAGACCAGTAGGACTATTTTCGTGGCGCCATTTTAACGCGCAGTCCGCCCGATCTTTACGTATTAATAATTTATATTTATTACAGGTCAATGGCCTTCAATATAAATAATGCGACGTTGCCATTTTGATATTATATTCTTCCGTTGAATTTTACCGGCGCGGGGGCGCCGAACATCGATAAGCGATGTTGCCGTTCTTAAAGTTAGGCTAAAGCGTGTTGAAATTTCTTATTACCGTTACAGCCTATTAAAGTCCACAGCAGGACATAGGTCTCCTCCATATGTTACCTCATATACTGGATATACTGGATATTTGTCTTAGTTGCCACGCTTGGCAAGCGGGTTGGTAACCGGTTTAGTTTTTGATTTTTCTTTCTTATTAAAGAAGACGCTGCTGCCCATCTCTTGGTTTGTTCCCCTCTTACGACAACCACGGGACGATATGAGGTAGTGGATATTCTTACACCACCACTACAAGGCTTTTTTATTAGATAAAATATTATTTGTTTGGAAATTTATATTTAATTTCGACATATAATATACTATTTTAATATAGTTGCTCAAAAGGTGGCGTATTGCAAGGACGTATAGCGTTCGGGATGTGGGCTATTACATACTCGTGCTTTTTCTTTACCTTTTCCGAACTCGTGCGTTTTCTTTCCCAACTGTCAAAATAATGTCTATTAAAAAGAAAAAACCAACCACGAAGTTTTTACTAAAAAAAATTCATAGAAGTTTTTATGGTTCATGCAAATATTTCTAAAAAGAAACTACTAATATGTTTCAATATCAGATTTAATGATATGATTCAATGAGTTTAGGTACCATTTCATTTCATCTCATTAAATTTAATTTTCATTTCATATCAATAAAAAAATTCTACTGAAGACTTGGCTGTATGGGCATAGTTCCCTTTGCCTACCCAGAATGGGTGAAGAAAACAAAAAAATCTCTGCTTATATTCTTTTACGGTTGGCGCCATTTTCCAAAAATGTTCTTTATTAAATTGCTTCATTTTTTCGCAACTATATTAAAAATAGTTGTTCAGTACACGTGCGGAACCGTCATTGCAACTTGTTCCGACTGTCAACCCTCACCTTCGACTGCGCCTCGGCTCGGGTAGACATTTGTCGGAACTCTTAGCAATGACAGGCTTTCCGCACTCTTAATGAAATATACTATTTCAAATACATTTCATTACGTGATAGAGGCATACTGCAGCTATATTAATAGTATAGTTGTAGCACGAATGGGTCGGCTCGACCGCGGAAGGACCACGCTCTCACATAATGCTAACGTAAAATAACAGCTCAATGCGGCTGTGTTTCGTATGGTGAGTGTAGAGAGCCGGAGACCCGTTTTACTGGAAACGGGGCATTCCTTCTTAGTCCTTACGGGTCGATGTCTATGTGCCACAGTAACCACTTACCCTCAGGTGGACTGTGTGCTCGTTGGTCACGCTTATCCTATAAAAAAACATTATCTTTACCTAATGTAACAACACCTGTTTATTTGGACGTAGTATCGTACTCGACTAATTACAGTAATTAGGGTGTAATTTTCTGGTAAGTTTGAAGAACCATTCTTGAATATTGATAACACTACAGCGGTTTTCTAGGATTCTGGAAAGACTCCCGTTTCTTCTTTTCAGTTATATGTTTCAACAAGATAAATAATAATTGTAAAAACCGTTGTATGCACTTTGATTTGTATGTGTAGTACGAAGGCATGGATTTCTCATTCTAATTGGCAAAGTTCGCCCACTTAATGATGAATACTGATTCCCCTAACTGTGAAGTATTGTGGTTCTATTGATGATAGTCAGCATTTGTTAATAGAATGTGTTTACTTTAAGAGAGAACTTGAATTATTGATGCAATGTTTTAAGACAAATATGTAGGTTTTAGGAGTTTGTTCAATTGTGTTAGCAGAACCACTGTCAGATGCTGTAAAATTTTTGGTTTATAACTAGATAAATAACCTTATGAAACACCAATAATTTTAATTCTTCTCAATAAGGTTTTCTTTCACTGCTGGCCGTATGAGAAAGTTCAAGGTCGCTCAGCGAGCTATGGAAAGGACTTTGCTCGGAGTTTCTCTGCATGATAAACTAAGAAATGAGGATATCTGCAGTAAAACCAGAGTATCCGACATAGCCCAACGGAATAGTAAGTTGAAGTGGCAATGAGTCTGCAATATAGTTCAAAGAATCGGCAATCGATGGGGAAGAAAGGTTCTCGAGTGGCAGCCTTGAAACGGTAGGCGAACGTGGGGCGGCCCCCCCTAGATGAACCTAGACTAGATGAACTGACGATCTGGTAATATAAGCAGAAGTCGATGGATGCAGGTGGCTCAGGCCATTGCTTTGTGGTGTTCCTAGGGGGATGTCTTGTCCACTGCTGAAGATTTGTGAAGGACTGTAATGATGATTATGATGTGGCTGACATATTTGTTCGGGATAAAAGCGACTAAATAAATAAAGAAGAAAAAAAATTATCCTAATAGGTATTTTCTTCAACACAATAATTACAGGAACCAGGTATTAACTGCGGTGAGTTCAGTAAGCTCTGTGAGTTTGGTGAGCTCGGCGAGTTCGACGAGCACAGTGAGCTCTGTGAGTTCAGTGAGTTCCGTGAGCTTATCGGGTCGTGGGCGGGGTCGTCGGCGTCGCGGCGAGTTGCCGCCCCCTCACGAGATGCTGGCCTCGCCAAACTTCAAGCTGTTTCTGTACTCTTGCAAGTTCTGCGACTTCCGCTGTAACGCAATCAAGGAGCTCACAGCACATAAGGTATGTGAACAGGCTGATCAGCAGTGCGATTGATCGAGAAGGAGGTAATTTTTCGATTGTATGTATGTATGTCTATTTCTTTGGCACCTAAACCGTGTGGTAGTGGTGTAAGTATATCCATTACCACAGTTTAAAGATAGTCTAACAGCTGGGAAACGAATGTACTTGTGCAGAGCAACGGCGGGGGCCTTGCGGGGCGGGGGGCGGCGCGACCTTGTGCAGTGCGCACTGCACTAAGTCTCCTGTACAGGGGCGTAGCTACCGCCGTATCAGCCGTATCAATGATACGGGGCCCCCGGGATATAGGGGCCCCGAACGTGTGTGAGCAAAAATTCCAAGGACTTCTATGGGACAGGAAAGGCTATCACTAGAGTCTATAGAAGTAAAGAATTCACTAAAACTGAAATCGTCTTCAGCTATGAATGCAGCCGAATCTTCTTCAGCTGTGTTCGCCGAACAAAAGGCACGAAAAGTGTATATTTGATTTGAATTGTTTGGCTAGCTTAGTTCCTAGGAGTATTAATTGTAAGTAATAACTCAAAAACCCGTGTAGTGGCACGGGTGGCAGTGGAGAACACTCACTACCCTATATCTTCCCGTGGGTGTCGTAAAAGGCGACAGTGGGAAACTGAGGCAGAGGATGGGCAGCAGCATCTTTCTCATAACAGCAAAACAACAATAAAAAAACTATGGTTGCCAACCCGCTCGCCAAGCGTAGCAACTATGGCAATATACCCCCCCATGAAAGTAACGAAGAGATGGCCCGCAGTCCCCGGCGGCCCCGCTATTCCTCGCTACGGTGGCGACCATGGTAACGGCGGGGCAGGAGGTGCTAAGAATCTCCGGTGGAGGTTCTGTTGCCACTTACGACGACTCGACTTGGCAACTTATAACGCACGCACCCTGAGGACTGACGAGAAGATCGTGGAGCTGGAAGAAGAGATAGACAAGTTGCGCTGGAATGTCATAGGATTATCCGAAGTCCGAAGAGAGGGGGAGGACACGCTAATCCTCGAATCCGGCAATTTGTTCTACCACCAGGAGGGCGACCATCTGTCCCAAGGAGGTGTCGGAATTATCGTCCCCAAGTCTCTTGTTAACAACGTTGTAAATATTGGGAGTGTGTCGACGAGGGTTGCGTACCTTATACTCAGAATCACCAAACGGTATTCGCTGAAGGTCATACAGGTTTACGCACCAACCTCGGAACACCCCGTTGAGGAGGTGGAGGAAATGTATGAGGATATCTCTAGAGCCATGCATTCCTCCAAAACCTATTATACGGTGTTAATGGGAGACTTCAACGCAAAACTAGGCACAAGAGAGAACGGTGAGCTGAAAGTAGGGAATTTCCGGAATAGGGGAACGGAACCCAAGGGGCCAGCAGCTAGTCAACTTCATGGTAAAAGAGGGACTCTTTATGATGAACTCTTTCGTCAAGAAACAGCCCCACAGGAAGTGGACCTGGTCCAGCCTCGACGGTTCGACAAAAAATGAGATTGACTTGATTATGATGACCAGACGACAACTGTTCGGTGATGTCTCAGTGATCGCGAGGGTGAAAACCGGTAGCGATCACCGAATGTGAGAGGCACACTGAACCTAACCGTTGAGTTGGAGAGGTCACGTCTAATGAAGTCCGTCCCCCTCGTGCTCTAATCCAAAGTCCCGAAACCTTTCAGTTCGAGCTACGAAACAGTTTTCAGTGCCTAGTAGATTGCAATGCAGTGGACGATATGAATGACAAGCTCGTGGAACCTGTCCATGCGGTCGGAGCTAAGTTCTGCAAGACCCGCCACAGAAGAACATAAAAAATCTCCGATTACACTCTTGATCTCATGGCTGTTAGACGGGATATGAAGCTGCAGTCTTCAGTAGATTTGACAGCATACAGGCAACTGAACAGACAGATTTCCAAATGCATGCGGTGGGACTAACGCAACTTTAATACTGCTCGTATTAAGGAACCGATCGAGTGGAACCAGGGCTCAAAAGTCTTTGCTAGAGATCTGTCTGCCAGAAAGAGCCAATTGTCGAAGCTGAAGACCGAGTGTGGCAGCGTCGTTTCCGGGACACCTGAGATTTTGAGTGAGATTGAGAGGTTCTATGGGTAGCTGTACATATCATCCTTGGAGCCACACGTAAGTGTGAGTAACGATCCAAGAGCGAGTTTTATCCGACACTATTCCGATGATATACCGGACGTCAGTCTGAGTGAGATTAGAATAGCTCTCCAGCACCTTAAAAACGGCAAGGCCCCAGGTAAGGATGGAATTACAGCGGAGCTTCTGAAAGCGGGTGGAAAACCGGTACTTGAAGTCCTTCATGGTGGCATTACACCGGAGGCGTGGAGCAGAAGTGCGGTGGTCTTGTTCTTCAAGAAAGGTGATAACGCTCTCTTGAAGAACTACAGACCGATTTCCTTTCTGAGCCGCGTCTACGTGCTGTTTTCGAGAGTCATTATGAATCGTCTCGCGCGCAGACTTGACGACTTCCAGCCTCCCGAACAAGCCGGTTTCCGAAAAGGCTTTAGCACTATAGACCACATACACACCCTTCGACAAATTGTACAGAAATCCGAGGAGTACAATTTGCCACTATGTCTGGCGTGTGTGGACTATGAGAAAGCCTTTGATAACGTCGAAATTTGTGCGGTGCTTCGGCGATGCCAAGTTGACTATCGGTATATCGAAGTGCTGAAGTGCTTGTACAGTAGGGCTACGATGGCTATCCGAGTACAGAACCAGAATACGAAACCTATCCAATTGCAGAGAGGTGTAAGACAGGGTGACGTTATATCCCCGAAACTCTTCACCGCTGCATTGGAAGACGTTTTCAAGCTTCTGGACTGGAAAGTATACGGTATTAACATCAATGACGAGTACATCACTCACCTTCGATTTGCCGACGATATAGTCCTTATGGCAGAATCGCTGGAGGACCTAAGCACTATGCTTAATGACCTCAATAGTGTTTCCCAACGGATAGGTCTTAAGATGAACATGGACAAAACAAAGATCATGTTTAATGTCCATGTCAAACCTATGCCGGTATTTGTTGGGAGCACTAAGCTCGAAGTTGTTGACGAGTATGTTTACCTGGGACAAATAATCCGACTAGGTAAGTCCAACTTCGACTGAAAAGTCAATCGACGGATTCAACTCGGCTGGGCAGCGTTCGGGAAAATACGGCACATCTTCTCGTCAGGTATACCTCAAAACTTGAAAACGAGACTGACATACGGAACTGAGACGTGGTCCTTCACTGCTGGCCAGATGAGGAAGCTCAAGGTCGCTCAGCGAGCTATGGAGAGGTCTCGGAGTTTCTCTGCGTGATAAACTTAGAAATGAGGATATCTGCAGTAGAACCAGAATGATCGACATAGCCCAACGGATTAGTAAGCTGAAGGGCCGGCCATATAGCTCGAAGAACCGACAACCGATGGGGAACAAAGGTTCTCAAGTGGTGGCCTCGTACCGGCGGACGAAGTGTAGGGCGTCCCCCCACGAGATGGAGTGACGACCTGGTAAGATATGCAGAAAGTCGATGGATGCAGGTGGCTCAGCACCGTGCTTTGTGGCATTCCTTGGGGGAGGCCTATGTTCAGCTATGGACTTGTGAAGGACTGTCATGATGATGATGAATAACTTAAAATCAATATATAATAATTTGAATTCAATGCAAGTGTTTTTGTTCCTTTTATGAAATCTTTACTCTTCATTGGGGCCCCCCAACAAATTTTGATACAGGGCCCATCTAAGGCACGCTACGCCACTGGTCCTGTACAATACATGCGGTTGCACTTGCGTGTTTTGGTGCTAGTTATTTGACAAATTTTAAGTGCCGTTTTCGAAAAATATAATAGTTATAATGGGAATTACTGTTATATGAGTTACTAAAGCTTCGGTCACATTCGGCGAATATTCGCTGCGAGTGTATTTGCTGCGAATATTACTCGCAGCGACAATTCGCCTTTTGCCTGTCATACACAGCAAGTACTACACGAGAATTATCTATACTTAATAATATAATAAAGCGGAAGAGTTTGTTTGTTTTTTTGTTTGTTCAAACGCGCTAATCTACTATATCTTCTATGAGCGAGGTTAGTTCAATTATTATAGCTAAAATGAATTCAAAATTAATTGAGTACTTTTATGACAATAAATAGTTACATCTTTATTTCTGAACCCTTCCATTTCACGTTGCTATGGTATTTTGAAAATTTAATCTACACTCTACTATTTATTATTACTATTATATAGAGGAAAGATTTGTTTGTTTGTTTGTTTGAATTGAATAGGCTCCGAAACTACTGGACCGATTCTTTCACCATTAGAAGCCTACATTATCCCTGATGAACATATATATCTTCAAAAAAGTTAGGGATCTGTATGAAAATTTTGTTAATGTAACCTAAGATGTAAAAAAATACCAAAAATAATCCTTATATCTCGTACGCTGCGGAAAATATTGATAATAGAGCAAAGTAATGTACTTCAGTTTTATAGAGAATATCAATATCTACAAAAAAGTCTGCGATACCATATGTTTAACTATTACAGTTATGTCATAACTACTTTTTCATGTTAAAATGTGAAAAAGTTACGCAGGTACAAACTAGGCCACATTTTTCGTTCTACCTGTATCATGCATAACCACCAATTACGTTAATCATGTAATTTTATTAACATATTTCACTTTTTAAATCTTTGTTAATTCAGCAACCGTCCGTCATGATGTCTCTCTCGAAGTTCGCATGTCGCAAGGCGCAGACGCGTGATATGCGCGGGTGAAACCGCGGGGCACAGCTAGTTGATTAATAAGTATAAGAGTTTGATAGCAAATTTATCAAGAATCATTTCATGCCTTTCATGTATCGTGTACGGTTTTCTTTAAAACTGGAAAAAACCGCGCTTCTGGACACTTTCTGGGACGTAAGGGGGAGGGGGGAGGGAGAGGGAAAGTGGATAAAACTTAACTTCGCTCTACATCATACATATGCCGACAGATAAAAGTACTCCATTAATTATGCCAATTTCTCCATACATTGCTATCAAATAAAATATTTAATAGCAATTATAAAATGCTTGAACTAGGTGTCATGTCATGTCGCGCACCTCGGACACGTTATGACGCCGGTGAAATCGCGGGGCACAGCTGCTAGTATATAATATGTATCTTTTATATTCTTAAATTTTCTTTTCAATTGCTCTTGGGTTGCTATTTCGAATCCCAATTCAATAAATTCGTTACACAATGAAGGCGTCTGCCTTTTAAATTACTGTTATTTGTGTCAAACAGCTCCCCATTTTTCTATACACACCCAAGAAACGAATTATATCGTAATTTTCCCGATTTTAGAGAATCGTTTATCGATTAACTCATTTGATTGGCCTACACACTTATCATGCAGCAACGAAACGACCTATGCACAGGCGTGTAGTCTGTAGCGGAATGGCTACTCGCAACGGGTACCCTGACACACACAGCGAATTCTCGAGGCGAGTGCTCATTCGCAGAGAGTAAAATTGAGCATGTTTAATTCAATTCGCAGCGAATTCAACTCGCGGCGAATGAATCTAATCGTAGCGAATAGCCTGTCACACAGCGAATCGCAGCGAGTATTCGCTATGTGTGACTGAGGCTTTAGTAAAGGTGAATTCAAACGACGACCATGCTTATGTTTACCTATTTTTTTTTTGATAAAATTGTTTATCCGAATCCGAATACACTACACAATTAAATTTAACAGTCGAAAACGTCTAAAACAAATATTTGGCAGTGCAACACTTGTAAATGTATTTTTTTGTTGTTGTAATAAAATGATCTTTTTCAATAAATGTTTTTAACTTATAAGTATGCACATAATTTTAATAAATGATAATAAGTATTATAATATCCAAAATTATTTTATTTCCAATCTCGTGACAACCCCTGGCATACACGCCAGATCAACAATTTCAGGTCCTGGTAACCATATGTGTGTGACTTCATTTTAAAAGCATGGCCAGAATTGTTTTTGAAAATAATTTATTCTTATTTGTATTGTTATTACGTTGCATAATATAAATGTAAAGGCGGCTCCTCACGTTGGCCAACAAAGTGGCGAATGTGTTGGCAAAGATATTAGCCATGAGTTTGCAATGGCGTCCACACGTTGGAAGGTCGTTCAGTTTGCTTCGGTTGAGGTCAATGTGCGGACGAAATTATTAAAATGTATATTGACGCGCTAACGGCTGCTGCGGTTTATGTATTCACAGCATACCGGTACTACGTGAATGTGTATAAGAATAGGTTGATCAAAAAGAAATGAAAAAAAAAGAAATTTTATTTCTTCTGTTCCACAAACAATTTTCGGCGTGGAAGAGCTCTATAAAGCGAAAAGTTCCCTCATTGCTTATCGTTACTGTCATTTTGTAGACACTAGATACGATGCGTGAATATAAAATTTAAATCAGGTGCGTGCGATCACTCTTGGAGCTCGTAGCAAACTAAACGTGAGCCCAACGTGTGGACGCGGCGGCCAATACTCCGCCACAACCCTTTGATCCTTTGTAAAAAACCGACAAAACTTGTGGACCATCATTCCAATACATACCAACGTAAGCACAAACACTCCCTCTACACGATGGCCATTGGTATTGGCCAACGTGAAGAGCCGCCATAAAGAACAATTGAAACTGCGTCCAGGCGGCGGAACACGGCGGGGGCGGGGGTGGCGGCGGGCGCGGGCGCGGCGGCTGGCGCGCCACCTCCATCACGCTGCAGTGCGCGCGCTGCCCCTTCAGAGGCTGCACGCATTCACAGGTTGCTTTGCACACTATTGTTTTTAGAATAGGAGTGACAAACGAGCACGCAGTTCACCTGATGGAAAATGGATGCTGTGGTCCATAGACATCTACATCTATTCTCTATTAAAAATCAAATGCATATGCGTTCTCACCCCTGAGGACTACGATGGATGCCCCGTTGCCAGTAAAGACGGTCTCCGGTTCTCTACACTCACCATACGAAACACGGCAACAGTAAACTGCTATTTTACGCTGGTATTCTGTAAGAGCGTGGTTCTTCCCCAGTCAAGCCGACCCATTGTACTACAACCATAATATAATTGCAGCATGGCTCTACCATGTAAAAATTAATTAACAATTTGATTTGCAATGAAAGTGCAAATACGTTGACACTCCTGAAGATTAAAGCCGGTATACAGAGACAATCTCAAGTTCTCAATCTTCACAATGTCAAAATTTGGTGGGAACAAAGTATTTCTTTTATTTATAAAACTGAAGCGATAAAGTAATTTACAGTTCACCTGATGGTAAGTGGCAACTGCAGTGCATGCGTACTTGCAAGCCAACTTCAAAGAAGGCTACATATACATTGTCTGAGGACTAAGATGGAATGCATCAGCCTGTATTTATACTAACTCTCTACACCCTTCCGACTGGAACACTGGAGTGCAAGGACGGCTTCTTTGCGGCAGTGTTAAGTACGAGGGTGATACCTACACAGACAGAATCCCAGGCAGAAATAATAATGTCCTACAGATCGAATTTTAGTCACGGCGACCAGTCTCAACAGAAACTAAGACATCTGCACAGGGCAGGATTATAGTGCCCAAGTTTATTCGCAAGCACAGGTGCACTCTATTCCCTTCTCATAGTACGATGGGACGACGACAACGACCAGAAAGAAATCAGGCGGCTTTACTTGCTTTCTGATGCACGGGGGTGAAACACCGACAAATTAGGTGACTTAGGGCCGTCACTGAGAATTTCTTGTCAGAAAAACCCAAGTAACTTACAATTTCACAACGTATTTTTTAAATCTTTATTAACAGCCCTTAGTAACCACGGAACGTTCGTTGTGACATAGGAAGGAGAAAAGATACAAAGTAATACGGACACTCGCGCGCGGCGATAAAGTTTTATTTAGCTTGGGTGCGCGATTTATTTGATTAATAATAACGATGCAGGCTATTAAAACGTCAGCAAGCAGTCAACATCAAAGAAGTGCAACTTCTGTACGTAGTACTACATAGGCTGCACTAAAAGTATCGGGTATGGAATATTTCCACTGTTCCTGTCATATTAAAATCTTTTTAATTTAAAATTCCTTGGTTTTAAAAATCCAATACCATTTATATATTTAAAAAAAAAAAGATTCTCGGTCTTGTCAAACTTGTTTAGTCGTTGAGAAAATGGAATTGACTCGAGAAAATTCAAGAGCGATGATTTATTATGACTTTCGAAGTGGTTTAACACAAAAACAGTGTGTTGACCGGATGATTTCTGCATTTGGTGATGAAGCCCCATCCAAAACTACAATTTATCGCTGGTTTGTTGAATTTCAACGTGGACATGTCAAGCTCAGTGATGATCCCCGTCAAGGTCGTCCAAAAACTGCAGTCACCCAAGAAAAAGTTGATGCTGTGCGTAAGCTGATTGAGGAAGATCCGACATGTGACATACCGCGAAATTCAGGCAACTTTAGACATTGGCATGAGTCAAATACAAATAATCTTGCATGAACAATTAGGTGTAAAAAAGTTGTTTTCCCGATGGATACCGCATTCGTTCTTTGAAGAGCAAAAAGCGGCTCGCGTTACTTGGTGCGTCAGAACTGTCGAAAGATTCCACGCAGGATCCTCAAATGCTGTATACAACATCGTATCAGGTGACGAATCCTGGATATACGCGTACGAACTCGAAACAAAAAACCAGTCACGAGTTTGGGTGTTCGAAAATGAGTTAAAGCCAACAAAAATTGTTCGTTCACGGAGTGTTGCAAAAAAATGGTGGCCACGTTTGTCTCCAAAACCGGCCATGTTACGACTATTCCTCTTGAGGGACAAAGAACGGTTAATGCAGAATGGTATGCTAGCATTTGTTTGCCACAGGTCGTTTCTGAACTCCGTAAAGAGAACTGCAACCGCCGCATCATCCTCCATCACGACAATGCGAGCTCTCACACCGCACACAGAACAAAAGAGTTTTTAGAGCAAGAAAACATAGAATTATTAGACCATCCGCCGTACAGCCCCGACCTAAGCCCTAATGATTTCTATACTTTCCCTAAAATAAAGAATAAATTGCGTGGACAAAGATTTTCATCACCTGAAAAAGTTGTGGACGCCTACAAAACGGCCATTTTGGAGACCCCAACTTCCGAATGGAATGGTTGCTTCAAGTATTGGTTCCATCGTATGGAAAAATGTGTCAAATTTTGCGGAGAATACTTCAAAAAGCAATAAATACATTTTTAAATAGTAATGTTGTGTCACTTCCTTGATTCCCGAAATTTTCACTGCCGCCTTCGTATTATTTATTGTGACTATTATCTGTTCGCTTAGATCAGACGCCTTTGCGTCGTGCCGCATCTTGTTAAAGGCGCCGCCGCAACATCAAAGGTCCACCCGCAAGATAATATGGCATTTTAAAACGAAGCGCCGTACTGAAATTTTCTTTGCTACCTAACTTGATTTTATTATTTATATACGTATTTTACTACAATAACCATAAGAGTAAAATAGTAAAAACATAAACATTTATTTAACAGTAAAATATAATAAACTAAAAGCAAAATAATAATTGCGACTACGGGTGTATCGACACTATCTTAGTGAACACGTTCCTATTTCCTTCACGTTCAAATTTTGACATTACAGAATTTTATTTCAAACTCGAGATTGTCTCTGAATACCGGACTAAGATGTGATGCATTGTTACCAGTAAAACGGATTCACTGAACCTGTCGCAACATGCAACACTCGACCATGTTTATAAAGTTTAAATTTCGAAGTAACTTAACTAGTTTCTACCTTTTTTTCAGTTAATGAGGCATGTCCAGGAAAACCATATGGTTGAAAATCAGGAGTCGACTAGTAAGTATTTAAATGAATTATGTTTATTCCTCTTCTCATTATTTACAGCCTATTAAAAGTTCACCGCTGAGTAAAGGTCTCCTCCATAGATTGCTTAGTAAAGGGTTTGCCATTGCCACACTTGGCAAGCGGGTTGGCAACCGCATTTCTTATTATTTTGTTTTGTTATCAGGAAGATGCTTTTATTGGCCTTTTGATACCACTGAATGAAAACGGATGATGAAAACTCCTACGCCACCACCACACGGTCAATAATTCTTCGTAATCAGCCCATAAAATTAAACTTCTGACAATTTGTGTTAATCGGTTGAGAGGAAATAGAAAAAAGATTATTGCGGACAGGAAATTGAAGTGCATAATTTAAAAAAAAATTAAAGAAAGAAAATAACAAGATTGAAATATTGTAGAAAAAACATTGCATATTAGGGCAATGTATTAATGATTTAGATATACTCTTTAGTTTTTTTTTCTGTTGATTTAAAATCCGAGATTGAACTAGGCGTGCTATAGGTTGATTCACCTTACATTCTAAAATCAGTCTGGTTTCGCGGTCGCAGAACACGACGTGAGCACCTAGAGACAATATCAAATATTGTTCCCCGTTCCGGTCTGGGTGTTTTCACTCTGGTAAAAGAGATGAAAAATCGCCATCTACCGGAGGCTTAATCTTTTGGATTTTCACATAATGAGGGCTAATAATAGTACGCTCACCAGATGTCGCTAGTTGGCACTAAAGTGAACTTATTTGTTACGCAGATGGTCACATAATATTCTACAACTCCAGATTGAATTTAATTCACGGCGGCCAATCAGGAGATTAGCTATCTGTGCTGGACAGTATAAAAGTGCCAGAGTGTGTGTGCAAGCACAGGTGCACCCTCTATTCCCTCACTCTCACAGTTCTTTGGGACGGTTATCCGACTCGATCGGAGACCGATCAGGCGCAGGACCAACTGCCTTACATGCTTTCCGAGGGCTAAACACCGCCAACGTTCTGACACTGGGCTGCTAATAAAATTTCTTGACAGAAAAAAACCTATAACTGGTTTTAGCCTGACTCGGGATTCGAACTCGACACTACAGTGAAACTCCAAGTTTTCTTTAATTGTATTATAAGCCATAACTCCTGTATCATATGGATTATTATAATAAATACGAATATCGTGAGAGACTACTCATTTGATGTTATTCTACATGTTTTGCAGATAAGGTATTCCTAAACAGCGCTGAGGTGGAGGCAGCGGACGTACTCGTTTGCGGGGCGTGCGGGTTCGAATCCAGCTCGCGAATCGATTTCAAGAAGCACATAGAGGACGAACATGGCGCCACTGCGTGTTGAGTTGTGACGTTGACAAACTTGGATATTTATTGCGTACTGACTGTCGAGTGTTAGTTGAAGAGACCACCAAAATGGCGGGCGGTTGTTAACTTCAGTGATCATATTATTTAAGTAATAAATAAGATGACGATAATGTTTATTTATTTTCATTTTATATAAAGCAGGAGATGGGCAGCGTCTTCCTAATAACGACCAAAAATAAAACTGCGGTTGCCAACCTGCTTCCCAAGCGTAGCAACTATGCCAAATATCCCCCCTATCTAGCAATGTATGGGGGGGGGGGGGCTATGTTAATCAGTGGATTTTAACCGGTTCAGTGCGGGTATGTTAAACAGTGGACTTTAACCGATTCAGTGCGGATGACACGCCAGGCGTGTCTTTAAAAAAATCCAGAACAAAATATTCATTATTTTGCGAGTAGTTCATGCATGCAGCTTCGTTTCTGGATATTTTGAAAATTTGAAATTTTTAGGGGTTGATAACCTTTTTTTAACGTGTACATGGTACTATTTTTACTTTGTGGGTTTTAAATCATGTTATGGAAAAATTGTCTAATAAGTAACAAATAATATTCAAACAAAACAAGTCCTGTTAAAAAAAACAATGCGTTTGTCTTATTGTTTAATTTTGCTTAAAATGGTTGAACTGCCGTCTTATTACTATCATATGGCCGAATAGACCTACGAAGTACCATGTGCTCTTGTGATATGGTATAAGGTTTATTTTTGTTTGAAACAGTTCGAAACCGTTCATGCATAAAAAAAGTTGGCTAATAAATAGTCTTTTGTCAATCTGCCGCCGTATAGCGCCGGCGATTTTTTCCTTTTGAAAACACTTGTTTTGCTATTCTTACTAATTAGACGTTTTCAGATCGACTTTACTTTTACATTTGTATAACATTAAATAGTATTTAACATTTGTAAATATCAATGAATGATATACCTTATTTTTTTTTCAAATTAAGGTTCTTCATTGATATTTACAAATGTTATTATTAGGTGAAAATTTAATTTAATAAAAACCAAGGTTTCCAGGGTGATTTAGCTGTACCTACTTATATAAATGATTTTTTTTATAACAACAAAAAATAGTACAAAAGGTTTGTAATCTCCTCATAAAAAAAGTCACTTTCTCTCAATTTCAAAGAAAACGTGTAAAAAACACGTAGTTACCCACTAAAAACAAGTATCTTTCCATTTGTAACTTATGTTTGATGTCAAATAAACTTAATTAGGTCTAAACAAGTAAGGCGCTTGACACGCCAGGCGTGTCATAAAATATTTGTTAGTGCCGCAAAGAATCGGTTAATAGACTGTAACGGTAATATACAATCTAAATTTAAAGCGTGTAACTTGAATATTAAAGGTTACAGTAGTTCAACAGTTAAGGTCTACAGAACTAGGATCGTAAGTTAGAATCCCTCATTCGAGTACTATCTTCCGTAAACCGTTCTTGAAACGTGTTTTACGTGGAAGAGCCACGTTACAGCTTAATAATGGTAGTAGTACGAATGGGTTGGCTCGACCGGGGACGGACCACACTCACAGAATACAGTGTTTTGTATGGTGAGTGTAGAGAACCGGAAACTCTTTACTGGAAACGAGGCATTTATCTATCTTAGTGCTCAGGGGTGACAACGCATTTGTATTTCGGTTCTTAGTTGAGGCTATATGTAGATGCCAATGGGCAGAATCCACTAACCATCAGGCGGACTGTGTTCGTTTGTCATCCTTATCCTAAAAAAATAAGATACTAAAAGGAATAAAATAATTTCACATTCTGAAGTCTGGGCTTTTAATTCTTCTAAACAATATGTCTTAGCACTGACTTTAGAATGTGAAATTATTTTTATTTATTTGAAGTCACCTATTAATTTTTTACATTGTTCCTAATCTAACTTTGAAGATCTCTGAAGGGAAATCGGAAAGTATCATTAACTGACTGCACCATGGCATAGTAGCTTGCAATGAGTTGCAGCGCTGAGGGCCACGAGTTCGAATCTCCCACAGATTTTGTATGACCTACAAATAATTGTTCTGAGTCTGGATGTTTGTGCTTATGCAATTTATTTATGTAAAGTGCCCCCACGATACAGGAGAAATTCTTAGTGTGGTGGTAAACTTTTTATGAAATAAAAAAATTATCTTCCTTTGATCTGAAAGTGGATTTGGTGGATGATATCAAATATAAAAAATTATTGTCTTATTTGTTTAGTAATTTATATTAGTCCATAAAATCTCTTTCTAATAGAAAAGCTCTCGCACTGTTATTCATTATACAAACAGTAAAAACAGTTTTTTTGTTGCGGTATGTGTCACAACTAAAAGTCGAAGTGCAGCTACAACTAAGAGCAACTAATTGTGATTGGTTAAACTTAGGTGTATTCGATTTATTCATGGCTAAAACTAAATGTGTGTGGCTCTCAGGTAAAACTAGGTATAGTAAATTCTGATAATAATTAAAATAAATTACTATGGCTTCTATTAACTACGTTAAAAATATAAAAGCAACTGTAAAGTAATATCAGTGACAATAGGTTAAGATGCGACTTGGGAGGTCTACGCACATATTATCTATAAATTATTCACACAAATCGAACACTTATTTTTAATCAATTGCAAACGGCTGCTTTTAGTTGTAGCTGGCTAAACATAGGTGTGTACGCTCTTCGGCTTTTAGCCGTAGCACATACAAAACTTTTCACTTTACCAGACCAGACCACATCGGTGGCTTGAAAAATCAAAACTATTTTAGATGTGTAAAAGTAATATGTAAATAACCTATATCGTCCCACATTTGGATATGAGCACCTAGAGTTTCTGAAAGGGTTGTTAAATGTATCCCAGTCAAAAAAAAAAAAAGAATCACAAAAAAATCTTACATAGTTAATCCTATTTTTCATCTGTTATAAAAAAAAAGAGTTCATGTTGTAAACATATAATAATAATACTTAATAAATTGAAAATAATTTTATATTTTTAGTGCTGCGTTTTTAATATATTTGACATAATATAAAATTAACAAATTTAGTTTGTAATTAATGCCGGAGTGCCATATCTTTTATTATGGTCATATCATACTACTTAAACGGAATCACTTTCACACAATTCACACTTGAACACTTATTATCACCTAAGGAAAAAAGTTTTTTGCCCTATCCCAAGGTTCAGCTTCTGATTATGGGCATTTCCTTTCCAGCTGCCCTTTGCCACCTTCGTCATACTCTTGTGATGAAATCCACATCTGTTGGAACGAACCGATCGACGCGAGGATGGAACCACCTGCAATAGATTTGTACATTTCAAACTAATATCACAAATATACCATTCGATAAGAACAAGTTTCATTTTACGAGTAAATAAAAATAAATAATATTAACGATTATTTTGCTTTACCCCAAAATGAGGCAATTCAATAAAACTACACGGATGCATGGGTACGATAGTAGAAAAGTATAGAATGGAATAATTTTTAATTCAAAATAGATCACATTTGTAATTCTTATGGAGTAATTTTTTACTTTAAAACTGGTTCGAAAAAAAGTAAAGTACAGTAACAGCCTAAATACGTCCCACTGCTGGCAGTGACCCAGTCCTCGGCACTGTATGGCAGGAACCAACTGTGGCGTTGTCCCAATAATGCGTATTTAGGCTTGATTTAACCAGGATGTATCCATCGAAGCGGAGCAGTGTTGTGTGCTGGTTAAAGTGGAGCTGAGTTGAGTGCGGTTTGTTACTAGTTTGGGGCGGAACGAAGTGTTTTACGGCAGACGCCATGTCGTCAATACATTTTGTTTCTGTTGCTCGTTTGCGAGATTCAGCTAGCATTTTCGTTTTGACGCAAGCAAATATGAGTAAGTACTAAGTAAGTTAAGTGGTAAAGAGATGGGCGAATAATGTAGTTCTATTGGTTGTTAAAACATTTTTTGTTTCCGCCCATCTGTGTCGTATGGAATGATGCGGGCAGTACGTACCCGAACCATGCCAGCCCACGCGCTCCAGCCAGCCGGCCGGGTTGTGCTGCGTGCTGTGCGCGTGCTGTGCGCAGTACGTACCGAGCCAGGCGGCGAAGCGGCGCTCGGGCGGCGAGGGCGCGGCGTGCGTCTTGAGGCGGTGCGAGGAGGGCGCGCGCGCGGCCAGCTCGCGGCCCACGCGCTCCAGCCAGCCGGCCGGGTTGTGCTGCGTGCTGTGCGCAGTACGTACCGAGCCAGGCGGCGAAGCGGCGCTCGGGCGGCGAGGGCGCGGCGTGCGTCTTGAGGCGGTGCGAGGAGGGCGCGCGCGCGGCCAGCTCGCGGCCCACGCGCTCCAGCCAGCCGGCCGGGTTGTGCTGCGTGCTGTGCGCAGTACGTACCGAGCCAGGCGGCGAAGCGGCGCTCGGGCGGCGAGGGCGCGGCGTGCGTCTTGAGGCGGTGCGAGGAGGGCGCGCGCGCGGCCAGCTCGCGGCCCACGCGCTCCAGCCAGCCGGCCGGGTTGTGCTGCGTGCTGTGCGCAGTACGTACCGAGCCAGGCGGCGAAGCGGCGCTCGGGCGGCGAGGGCGCGGCGTGCGTCTTGAGGCGGTGCGAGGAGGGCGCGCGCGCGGCCAGCTCGCGGCCCACGCGCTCCAGCCAGCCGGCCGGGTTGTGCTGCGTGCTGTGCGCAGTACGTACCGAGCCAGGCGGCGAAGCGGCGCTCGGGCGGCGAGGGCGCGGCGTGCGTCTTGAGGCGGTGCGAGGAGGGCGCGCGCGCGGCCAGCTCGCGGCCCACGCGCTCCAGCCAGCCGGCCGGGTTGTGCTGCGTGCTGTGCGCAGTACGTACCGAGCCAGGCGGCGAAGCGGCGCTCGGGCGGCGAGGGCGCGGCGTGCGTCTTGAGGCGGTGCGAGGAGGGCGCGCGCGCGGCCAGCTCGCGGCCCACGCGCTCCAGCCAGCCGGCCGGGTTGTGCTGCGTGCTGTGCGCAGTACGTACCGAGCCAGGCGGCGAAGCGGCGCTCGGGCGGCGAGGGCGCGGCGTGCGTCTTGAGGCGGTGCGAGGAGGGCGCGCGCGCGGCCAGCTCGCGGCCCACGCGCTCCAGCCAGCCGGCCGGGTTGTGCTGCGTGCTGTGCGCAGTACGTACCGAGCCAGGCGGCGAAGCGGCGCTCGGGCGGCGAGGGCGCGGCGTGCGTCTTGAGGCGGTGCGAGGAGGGCGCGCGCGCGGCCAGCTCGCGGCCCACGCGCTCCAGCCAGCCGGCCGGGTTGTGCTGCGTGCTGTGCGCAGTACGTACCGAGCCAGGCGGCGAAGCGGCGCTCGGGCGGCGAGGGCGCGGCGTGCGTCTTGAGGCGGTGCGAGGAGGGCGCGCGCGCGGCCAGCTCGCGGCCCACGCGCTCCAGCCAGCCGGCCGGGTTGTGCTGCGTGCTGTGCGCAGTACGTACCGAGCCAGGCGGCGAAGCGGCGCTCGGGCGGCGAGGGCGCGGCGTGCGTCTTGAGGCGGTGCGAGGAGGGCGCGCGCGCGGCCAGCTCGCGGCCCACGCGCTCCAGCCAGCCGGCCGGGTTGTGCTGCGTGCTGTGCGCAGTACGTACCGAGCCAGGCGGCGAAGCGGCGCTCGGGCGGCGAGGGCGCGGCGTGCGTCTTGAGGCGGTGCGAGGAGGGCGCGCGCGCGGCCAGCTCGCGGCCCACGCGCTCCAGCCAGCCGGCCGGGTTGTGCTGCGTGCTGTGCGCAGTACGTACCGAGCCAGGCGGCGAAGCGGCGCTCGGGCGGCGAGGGCGCGGCGTGCGTCTTGAGGCGGTGCGAGGAGGGCGCGCGCGCGGCCAGCTCGCGGCCCACGCGCTCCAGCCAGCCGGCCAGGTTGGCGAGCCCGCCGCACGCCACCACGGCGCCCCACAGCGCCGGCCGCGCGTCCGCGTCGCACGCCGCCGCCGCAGAGCACACTGCGCACGCACACGCACACGCACACGTCAGACACCTTCCTTCAAACTTCTAAGACACGTGAAGATAATGGATGCCATACGCGATCCAGGTTACTGCCAAGTTTGCAGCGCGCTTAAAACGGCGTCCGCTAAACTTGAGAGTGTATAGCTATCAGTGTACATGTCAAGTCTACTCAAAGCAAAAACTGAATCTCGATTTGACCGACTTGATGTTGACTGACTGATGTTAGTCAGAGCAATAAGCTTTGAATGGCTAACGCGTCGTCGTCCCTCACTGGTGATGCCATGGTTTCAACTGGTGCGGCATCTTACGAATTAGACTGCGAACTTGAATGTAGGTGGTCTATATGGATGCGCTGCAAACTGGACTCCGTTTCAAGCGCGCTGCAAACTTGACGGTAAACTGGATCGTGTATAGCGTGCATAACATGATCACCTTAAACTTCTCCGCTCTATAAAACCAAAACTAGAAGAATGACAGAGACAAAGTTATTAGGAAGATGCTGCCCATCCAGAAGATGATTTGTTTCCCTCTATCACCTCTTATGACACCCACGAATGATATGGGATAGTAGACATTCCTACAAGTATTGCATAATATTAATATATATTTAATAAGTTATTTATATTTGATTGATTATAATATCCAAATAGCAATGCAGTGCTAATAACGACGTGCATCTGAGACATGGTCTCTGCAAACAAAAGAGGACTATGCTCAGACTTTCTCTGGGAGATAGATTTCGCAATGAGAATATCCACAGTAAAACCAGAGTAACCAACATAGCGCAACGGTTCAGTAAGCTGTAGTATCAATGAGCCGGCTATATATCTCAGGGAACCTACGAACTTAAAAACTTTTTGAATTAAAAAATATTCATTAATGCAATTAACATATTGACTCTCACCCAAATGAGGAGCTCCCAAGTTTTGTTCAAACAGGCACTCTGTCAACTTGAACCTCTCTGGTCCGAAGTCCTGGTGATATCCGCCTGGGAACTCATAGTGCACGCCGGGAACTGATGCAGCTGTGCGCTCGTCATAAGAACTTTCCGATACCTATAAAAATATAACAAATATAATCTATAGAATTATAATTTGGAATTTTACCTGTGGACATATAAAAACCATCAACATGCACTAGAGCAGGGCTTCCCTAACTGTGCGTCGCGGCTCTATCCCAGGTGCGTCGTGAGGCATCTACAGATTGGCTGTGTCGATGCGACCGAGTCGAATGAGCGCTAGGCGTGTGTATCTCTTTACGGAAACGACTCACTAATACGAATCACTGAAGTGACACAAAAGATTGGTTCAGTAATAACGTTTCAAATGTATCATTTGTATCTGGAACAGTGAAACATTACTTTGCTCTTTGCTCATTTCGCGCGACGCGTCGCTTGTGAGGCGACTGAGCCACGAGCGAGAGAGAGAGACTGAGACAATGATTAACTTAACTATTGACTCACGAGCGAGTGAGCGGGCGAAATAATTATAATCCACGCAAGTCAGATAGAGATAACAAATAAGAAGTGTATCACTCAACTCGTACGGATTTTCGCTGACGTTATTCATGCACGTAAAAATTACCACTAAGGCGCTTATGTGTCAAATACTATACGGTCGTTTTTTGTATGTAACGTTTGCATTAACAAGTTGTCATTTTACGCTGATGCGGCACTTGTCAAATTGTTTATATTCATTAGCGCCTGTTTACGAAAACATACTGAGTTATGTTTAAGATTTCTTTGCGTAGATTAGCGTAAGATTCCTTTTCATCATAAAGTTTAGAGTTATGATACTTTACGAGTAAATTCTGTGTACATAGACATTGCTGTTTTGTGTAAATGGACATTTTTGTAAATAATGAATTGACATAGTGGCATTTTTGTTAAGGTATGAAGGAAAATCGATTTTATATACAACCTTATTACGGTACACAATAAATAATCTAAGCACTTATATTATTCAGCATTGTTGCCACATAACATTTCACGGATCAGCCAGTAATAAACGCACGCGACGCAACGTAATGTACCTATTCGGAACATTCTTTCTTTTATATCTTTTGAGTCGATGATCCAAATGAGCCAAATGAAACATATCAGTGTTTCGGCACATTTCAGTGATCAAGATGCAAATGTTCCAATCGCAAAAATGATATACTTTGCCCACCTCCAATGAGCGCTGCGCTCATTCTGATTCTGTTCTGTCAATCGCGGGCGCCGGTGTCGACCTCCCTCCATGTATTTCCCTTTCCCCCGCGTATACATATCGTTTCAGACAGTCAAGCTTTTGTTTTAATTACGCACGCGGAGTTTCAATATTGACTACAGATAATTTTATTCAAAGAAATAGAAAACGAAGTGAAGGCTCAGGAGAAAGCAGTCGGATTTACCTACATTACTAAAGGGAATGTAGAACTTCCTCAATGTGTTGTTTGTCATAAAGTGTAGGCACCTGAAAGTATGCTTCCTAATAAACTAAAACGTCATTTGGAAACAACTCACAGTAATTTACAAGGTAAGCCGAGACTTTTTTGTTAGAAAATTGCGAGAACTGAAACATCAGTTCACGGCTTTGCTTTCAAGAGCATCAGTTCCTACCAAAGCATTGTTTGCCTCCTTGTCACCTTCACTTGTCATTGTCGCCTTCACTTGCCAAATGTAAGAACCAACATACAATTGCTGAGGAACTGATTTTACCTGCAGCGGTTGATATGGTATCAGTGATAATTGGAGAATCGGCGGCTATATAAATAAAAAATGTATCTCTTTCAAACAATACGATTACCCGCCGTATTCATGACATGGCAGAAGACATTAATGAGCAAATTGTGAAGACACTTTCAGGCTTACTTACCATTCAACTTGATGAAGCGACGGATAGTAATGACGATGCTCAATTGATATATTACGTGCGGTACATACAAGAAACAAATGTGTGTGAGGATTTGTTATTTTGCAAAAAAATATGTGAAAGTGGTAAGGCTACTGATCTATTTGAGATCTTAAATTCATACCTGATCGAAAATAATATCAAATGGGAGAACTGTGTGGGTGTGTGTACGGATGGTGCTCGAGCGATGTCTGGACAGTATGGAGGACTACAAGCTCTCACCAAAACCAAGGCTCCAAATGTAAAATGGAACCTTAAGCTCCAATACGACAAAGACAAATTGCTTGAATTTTGGAGCTCAGTTTCTCACGAATATCGTGCCATCAGCTATGCAGCATTGAGGGTTCTATTACCATTTGCGACATCGTACTTGTGCGAAACAGGCTTTTCTGCAGTTGCAGTAATAAAGAACAAGTACAGATCGAAAATAAATGTAGAGAAAGAGCTGAGAGTGGCAATTTCCAAACTTGAGCCACGTTTTGAGAAGTTATGCTCAGAAAAGCAAGCACATCCTTCTCATTAGTAGCCAGCCAACAAAGTATCTCTTTTCAATTTTGTTCTTTGATTTTTTTTCTTATTATTTAATAAAAATTATAAATGTTATTTGCAGTTTTTCTGGTATCTTGTTACTAGGCTAGAATTACAACTGGTAGGTATTTTTGGTCAGAGGAGGGGCGTTGCAAAGAAGTGGCAAATTCCCAAGGGCGTCACAGTAAAAATAAGTTTGGGAAGCCCTGCACTAGAGCAATACAATGAACTGCTCCACAACACGTGACATGTACTCAGTAGTGGAACGTATAAAGGTTGTAACTTAATTTTTTGATTTTCAAACATATACTTACTTGAGCGACACAGTGGTAAAAGTCTTCATACTGTTTCTTTAGCATGTATTGTTGCCATGATTGTGTCAGACCAGCCGGGAGTGTTTTAAGGGTGTAACGGGCCCTTTCACGTTCCCTTATTACTTCTTTACTCTGTAATTAAAAGTATTTTCTTAGATAAAGTATGATGGTTCACAATATGATTTGATTGGTTTATTATAAGCTAGTATCAATTCTAAAACAAAATATCTTGTATTTTTATTATATAAAAAAACTTCATCAAAAAATGTTTTTATTTTTATATTAAAATAAATGAAAATACTTTTAGCATTATTGGTATTGATAGTGATTTATAAATTTTAGTCATAAGACTAGCTGTTCCCCGCGACTTCGCCCGCGTGTTATTTAGAGTTTTAACTTTTTTTTCACGGGATCCTAATTCTTTTTCCAAAATAAAAGTATCCTAAGTTACTCCTTGTGTCATCAGTCATATCTGCTAGTGAAAATCCCGTCAAAATCGATCCAGCCGTTTCGGAGATTAGGCGGAACAAACAGACAGACAGACGGACAGACAGACAGACAGACAAAATCTTTAAAAATTGTATTTTTGTTATTAGTTCCGTATATACTTTCATCTGCATTTAGTAAAAAGCTGTAATTTTGGCATTACAAACAGACACTTCAATTTTATTTATTTGTATAGATTAGCTTAAAATGAATGTATGCAAAGTCAAAGTTGTATGACATATGTTGAAACTTTTTGATCGACATATCTCCACATTTTTAGGTTCATAGAATCACATTTCTGCTGATTGTTTGGTGTAGTAGTGAACTTTTCGTCTCACTTATGTAGAAACAAAACGTCAATATCATGACAATAACAAAAATGCTTCAATTGTATTATTTTTTCACTATCAATGTTGTAGCCTTTTTAAAATCAAACTTTCAGTCGAATAATTTGATGGACAAAATAGGCAGAAGACATACCTGTATACTGTATAAAGGGAGCATTTGTATGTGCATATTGTTGAGCATATTCTTGGCTTGAGCGGCAAGGTGGTCACCACCAAGTGGTGACCGCACAGCGGCACTTACTATTGCATACCTGTAAAAATATGAAATGATTTTATGAATTATTTTATAATGTCTTCTAGACCGAATTACGGTGAAAACAGTCTCATATTAAACTAGGCATCTGCGCAGGACAGGATTATGGATGAGGCATCTTAGTACTCAGGACTGATATCGGATCTGCATTTTAATTTTTTATTTAAAATAGATAGGTCTTTCGGCCGTATATCACATAAAAAGCTATGTTATATTATTGTATGAAATCTGTCAATTACTTTGTTTAGAATATTTAGTTTATTTTTATTTTACTAGATGTCATTGTGTCCAAAGCTTGTGTTATTTATATCGCGTTGTAAAGATTTGGATCAAATAGTAGAAAAGCATACTTTTTGAGAAAAAAAATATTGAAAATCAATTATTTTTGCAGTATTTATGTCAATTCCTATCGTAAAGCTGACGCTATTTTCTATTGTCATTGTCATCGTCAGTAGGGATGTCGATTCTTTCCGAAAAAGATCGATTTTTAAATCGATTCGAAACGTAAGCTGAGGTATCGATTCACAAAAAATCGATTTCTAAAATATCTATATTTTTTCATGTTTGCATTTATAATGTAAATATAAATACATTTTATGAAAAACAAGAAAGATACCATAAAAAATGATATCTTATTGAAATTTGTTTTTTTTTTAACAGTACTTATTAGGGCAGATAACAAATAAAATAGGTTAGGTTCAACTTATGTCAAAGAACCGAATTGATTGACCCCGACTCCACCTGGTACGAGTCTGTCCTACCCCTAGAGTGGTTTTATAGAGCCGGAGGCGCGTAGGGGGAGCAGCCTCCACTTGCTGTAACAAATTGTAGGCATCGGACGAGCCGGAGCGGCTGAGGCTGGTCGCCGAAGGCGACCAAATAGCCGAAGCTGCGAAGGCGAGGAAAAGAACACATAGCTGACGTGAAGCACCAACGTTCCGGGAAGTCTGCGGTTTGTGATCATTTCTTAGACGCCCCCCACCATTACAATAGATTTGATAAACCACAAATTCTCGCGAAAGAACATCGATTCCTGCCAAGGATGATACGTGAGGCTATTGAAATTAAAAAACATCCTAATTTCAATAGAGAGGGAGACTGGGTACTACCACCTGCTTGGGATACTGTAATTCATAAAATTAAAACTAAACCCAAGCATACCACTGCAAGACTTCAAGACAGTTAGTTCATTCTGCGTAGATCAGACCAAAATTATTAATTAAAAAAGCTGAAGGTACACCGGGTTAACTCTGACATCGGGACGTCAATCAACTCAGTCCCCCGTGACCACGGTTGCTGGAAAGCAACCGAAACGTCGGGAATATAAAATAAGTTAATTAAACGCGATAAAATCCGTAGTAGTTTTATTAAAAAAAAATCATCGAAATCGGTTCACTCAGAAAAAAGTTATGAGGTAACATACATTAAAAAAATAGAACACAGTGGGATTGAGTACCTCCTCCTTTTTGAAGTCGGTAGATAACCGCTCAGTTGGCGCTGAAGTAGCGATTGTGGTCAAATATCTCGCAGCAAGTTTTTTTTTTAATTTTAGATAGGTAGAACCAATAACATTGTTTTAAACGTGCATTGGATCGTGTTTAAGATCAACCATCGGATTTTTTTAAAAACAACCGATAAAGAAACAGACAACCAACAACGACACCAAATAACAAACGAAATCAGTGACAACTGTGACATTACAGTTGACACTTTACAGTTAAATTTGATACCCCATAATGATATATTTTAAGGTTATCAATGCGTTCAAGCATTCTGAATTGTTCAAAATTTTAAATATTTTAGAGGAGATGCAAGATTTAGTTGATATTGATTTCGCGGGTTCGCAAGTAGGTACTCAATAATCGATTATGGGTTTATTGACATCGATGTTTCGATGTTTGACATTATCATCGATGATTTAACATCCATGTTAAAACATCGATGATCATTGAACCTAATACTTATTCCGTGCGGGATTAGAACCCGCGGCCCTTAGCGCTGCATCCACATGAGCAAAGAAACCGTACCGTACAGAGGCTAAGCTTCATACAGCCGCACTATAATAGTGAGCACTGGCGGCTCGTCATGAATAGAGAGAAACTGCTTTAAACCGGCTCGGCCAGTGCTCAAACTCAGGGTTGTGTAAAAAATAATGTGTCAAATATTGTTTTTTAAAGAATAATTCGTGTAGCGGACGGCGAAGGAGGCCGCCGCCCCGTCGCCCCTTCATACCCCGTTGCGCCCCGCGCACCCCGCACACCGGCAGCAGATCACGCGATGTCGCCGACCAATCAGCGCGCGGCATCGCCTTACGACGCTACTCGCATACTGAGACGCTCTTTTGCGGGATATATGAAGGGCGTTTTGGTCTGAGAAGAGAAGAAACCTCAAGAGAAATCAAGAAGACTCCCCTCTGTATATAGTTTATTAGTGCCACATTTGTAAATAGTTGAATACAGTATAGTTCTACAGTATCATCTTTTCTTTGAGCAGTCCCCTAGCGTAGTCAGTCATACAGTCCATTTGCAACAATTAAATTAATACAGTCCACTACAATCCCTTATAATTCGTATCAAATGAAATATAAAAAAGTGTAAATATGGTTTACGTAGATTTAAATCTTATCGAGGTTGCCGCAAGAGATACCGCTGATTTTGTAAATAAAATTAATAATTTGATTGATTTCTTAAACTCAAGTACATTGCTTTTCGATACGATAGTTATCAAATTGAGTTTTTAGAAGAAAGGTTAACATTTTTCCAGAAACTAAAATCAATAAGAAGTGATAGGCAGAAAGACGTTACAAATAGCATGAATTTTATTCACGGATTTCAAGTGTCTATAAAATCTTTAATAAAAAACTTCATGAAGAATTAAATCAGAAGAAATTAACTTAATTTATATTTACGAGCATCTCAATAAAAATTGTCTCGAAATTCTTTGGAAAACTCTGACAGGCGAGTTGTAGCTACCAGGAACCTACATGTCGTCTAGTTAGTATTGCCTTCAATAAGATGTTTATAACCAATATCTTAGGGAAACCTCAAAATACTATTTGTGGATACGATTTCTATACGTTACTTATGAAACCAGACTGTCGTATTTTAATACACCATCACCGCAACCTGACCATTTTACTGCCCCTTTGTTAACAGTAGGAACAATTGGTTATCTATTTGATTTACCAGAAAAAAAAATGGTTTAGTGAATATGTCGGGATATTTGTATAGAAAATGTTGTCTAGAACACTACAAATGTAAGAAAACAAAATTGTACTTTAATAGATCTGAACAACCTATAAATATGGGAACAGTTTATTTTGCCAGCCATTACAAGGCTTTTAATAAAGATATAATTCAATTGGGTTTTTTAATAATACTTCCTGACAATTTAATTACGTTTGTTGAATTGCTTGAGCGAAAATTTCTGGAATATTTTGACGTCGAAAGAAACATTGTAAATATTGGTAGTGAAATAATAAAACGTGTGCAAGATTTTATATTTGTTATGAAATGAGAGTGCTTTCCAATAGATTATTTAAAAAAAAAAACTACATTAAATTTAGAATTTACCTTTTAATTCAAAGCCACAACTAATAGTTGAAGAACATTAATTATAAAAGTAAAACATTTAGAATAAGTAGTTTAAAAAAAAAAATTATCTTAAGTATCTATTAAAATGCTGATAAACGTTTTGTTTATGTAGTTCTCCTCCTGTGCTAATCGTACCAAAATATGTAAAAAAAATTGACAGCTCCTTAGAAGCTTTGCCTCTGTACAGTTTCTTTACTCATGTGCTGCAAACTCTAATTGCTAAACCACTGCGCCACGGAGCCGTCATAAAATCTGTCATTAGAAGTATACTAAACTAAATATTTACAATCTATAATTCCTAACTGAATGTCTAATTAGCTATGACACCGTTCATTATCAATTCCTTACCCATCAATAACAGGTACAGCAGAAGTCTGGCTAGCACCGGCATCTACCACCAAAGCAGTAGATTTTCCATTTGCAAATGCAGCAAGAACTGCATTCTTTACAAGGAAGAACGCTGGAGCTTGATACTTCTCAAATAGTAACTCTGCTAACTTTTCTCTTGCTGGCCTGGTTGTCCAAACTGCTTCCGTAAATAGAGCTGGGTGGTGTTCTGATGGCGAACGGATAACCTGTTAAAAGAATGTCAGATAAGCATTTCTCCCACCTTAATGCATGTCATGTTAATATTAGTAGAGTTATTAAGATATGACCGAATTTAGGTATGTGTTTGCCATTAATGTCAAGTAATAATTTCTTATATTCATGCCAATACTGCATACTGAATAAACTAATCTATTTTTTGGCGAGGATTTGTGGTCTATCAATCTGACATGTCGACATATTGCAGATTTTTCAGTGTTAGTGCTTCAAGTCAGCTATATTTCTTTTACGCAGGTTTTTATGGATCAATTTCTTTGTCCTATGTAAGAGAGACCCCATTTTATTTTATTTTAATTTTATTTATTAAGGTTTACCAATGTTTGATTACACTGTATTTAACAAAATGACTTAAGAACTAACTTATGTGACTAAGTGTAACAATCGTTTAAGGTAAACACCACATGCATCGAGAAAGATTATAAATACGAATAAAAAGAAGTATAATTACCTAATAATGAAAATAAGTATATGGTAAAAAAAAAAAACTATAATTTATTTGTTGGTTTCAGACCAGGCTGAAGCTAGAACTTTCTTAATTTTGGCAAATGAGTCGGCTTGAATGTCAACTAAGTCACTATGTCCATTGACCAATTTGGACAATCTTGGAATTGGGGAGTTTGCACCTAAGACAGATTTCCTAAAAGGAGGGCAAAGTGGAGTTTTAGAAATTAAAATTTTTGGAGCAAGGGGGGACAGTTAATTTTCTGGTTAAAAATTTTAACAAGAAATGACATGTCAAGCTAATTTCTCCGATTTTCCATTCACAAGCAAGCTTGTATATTCCTGCATCTTCCAAAGGGATATTATACTTGACGGATGGTAAGTATTGACTAATCTCACAAATAGAAACTGCAAGACTTCAAGAAACTGCAGGCTCAATCTGCGTAGATTGGACCAAAGATTAATATTTAAAAGCTGAAGGTAGCCTTTGTTAACTATAACATCAAGACATCAAACACCTCACTCAGTCTCCGCGTGTACTTTAAAGCGTCCCAAATGTCGGGAAATTAAACTGATATTTCCGAAGAAGAGGCAACTTTAGGCATAGAATCATTTACCGAAAATCTACACAAAGGAGATGCATGAAATTGGGTGCTTGACATCGTTGGTAACAGTTATACAAAAATATGTAGGTAATATAACGATAAATTATAAGCATAATTAAATGGTTTTTATTTCTGTAATGTATGGGACAATCATAAAAATATTTTTTAAACTGAAAAACGAAAGCTAATGCTTTTTCCATAGCAAAACCCAAACGTTTTTTAATATTTTTACGTATTTTGTCATTAGATACTGAAGGCTATTTTTTGTAATAAATAGCCTTCAGTATAAAAAAAAAAAACCGGCCGATTGCGAGTCGGACTCGCGCACCGAGGGTTCCGAACAAATCCGTAGGTATATAAGTTTAAAATTATTAAAAATATTTTTATTATATGATGTAACTAAAAATTTATGCTTTTCGCAATTTTTCTTTATCTGTGCTGTAATTCGTTGCTTCGTACCAAATTTGAAGATTCTGAGTTCACGGGTAGTACCCTGTAGGTTTTGATTCCCTTGCGAATGTCGAAAATTTACGGCATAAACGGCTGTATCTGTTGATTACGTTGGCTTGGAAGTTTGATTTTTTCACAACTCCAAGGGACAGTAGACTTGAGTATTTGATATGAATTTCAGCTTGATACCTCCACGCGTTCCTAAGAAAAACGGTCTTGACAGACAGACAGACAGACCGACAGCAAAGTGATCCTATAAGGGTTCCGTTTTTTCCTTTTGAGGTCATCATCATCATCATTACAGCCCTTCACAAGTCCACTGCTGAACATAGGCCTCCCCCAAAGAATGCCACAAAGCACGGTCCTGAGCCACCTGCATCCATCGACTTCCTGCATATCTAAACAGGTCGTCACTCCATCTAGTGGGGGGACGCCCTACACTTCGACTGCCGGTACGAGGCTGCCACTCGAGAACCTTTCTTCCCCATCGGTTGTCGGTTCTTCGAGCTATATGGCCGGCCCATTGCCACTTCAGCTTACTAATCCGTTGGGCTATGTCGGTCACTCTGGTTCTACTGCGGATATCCTCATTTCTGAGTTTATCACGCAGAGAAACTCGGAGCATAGCCCTCTCCATAGCTCGCTGAGCGACCTTGAGCTTCCTCATCCGGCCAGCAGTGAAGGACCACGTCTCAGTTCCGTATGTCATTACTGGCAACACGCACTGGGTGTACAGTCTCGTTTTCAAGTTTTGAGGTATACCTGACGAGAAGATGTGCCGTAATTTCCCGAACGCTGCCCAACCGAGTTGAATCCGTCGATTGACCTCTCGGTCGAAGTTGGACTTACCTAGTCGGACTATTTGTCCCAGGTAAACATACTCGTCAACAACTTCGAGCTTAGTGTTCCCAACAACTACCGGCATAGGTGTGACATGGACATTAAACATGATCTTTGTTTTGTCCATGTTCATCTTAAGACCTATCCGTTGGGAAACACTATTGAGGTCATAGAGCATAGTGCTTAGGTCCTCCAGCGATTCTGCCATAAGGACTATATCGTCGGCAAATCGAAGGTGAGTGATGTAGTCGCCATTGATGTTGATACCGTATCCTTTCCAGTCCAGAAGCTTGAAAACATCTTCCAATGAGTAAAGAGTTTCGGGGATATGACGTCACCCTGTCTTACACCTCTCTGCAATTAGATAGGTTTCGTACTCTAGTTCTGTACTCGGATAGCCATCGTAGCCCTACTGTACAAGCACTTCAACACTTCGATATACCGACAGTCAACTTGGCATCGCTGTAGGGACTGCAGCACCGCCCAAATTTCGACGAAATCAAAGGCTTTCTCATAGTCCACATACGCCAGACATAGTGGCAAATTGTACTCCTCGGACTTCTGTACAATTTGTCGAAGGGTATGTATGTGGTCTGTCTATGGTGCTAAAGTCTTTTCGGAAACCGGCTTGTTCGGGAGGCTGGAAGTCGTCAAGTCTGCGCGCGAGACGATTCGTAATGACTCTCGAAAACAGCACGTAGACGCGGCTCAGAAGGGAAATCGGTCTGTAGTTCTTCAAGAGAGAGTTGTCGCCTTTCTTGAAGAACAAGACCACCCCACTTCTGCTCCACGCCTCCGGTGTAATACCACCATGGAGGACGGAATTAAAGAGCTTCTGAAGGACTTCAAGTACCGGTTTTCCACCCGCTTTCAGAAGCTCCGCTGTAATTCCATCCTCGCCTGGGGCCTTGCCGTTTTTAAGGTGCTGGAGAGCCATTCTAATCTCGCTCAGACTGACGTCCGGGATATCATCGGAATAATGTCGGTTAAGACTCGCTCTTGGATCGTTACTCACACTTGCGTGCGGCTCCAACGATAACGTGTACACCTGCCCATAGAACCTCTCAATCTCACTCAAAATCTCAGGTGCCCCGGAAACGATGCTGCCACATTCGGTCTTCAGCTTTGACAGTTGGCTCTTTCTGGCAGACAGATCTCTGGCAAAGACTTTGGAGCCTTGGTTCCGCTCGATCGCTTCTTCAATACGAGCTGTATTGAAGTTGCGTAAGTCCCGCCGCATGCATTTGGAGATCTGTCTGTTCAGTTGCCTGTATGCAGTCAAATCTGTTGAAGAATGTAGCTTCATCTCCCGTCTAACAGCTATGAGATTAAGAGTGTGATCGGAGAGTTTTTGTGTTCTTCTGCGGCGGGTCTTGCAGAACTTAGCTCAGACCGCATGGACAGTTTCCACGAGCTTGTCATTCAAATCGTCCACTTTATCACGGTTTTGTAACTCGAGCTGAAAGGTTTCGGGACTTTGGATTAGAGCACGAGGGGGACGGAGCGTTGAATTCATTAGACGAGACCTCTCCAACTTAACGTTTAGGTTCAGTGTGCCTCTAACCATTCGGTGATCGCTGCCGGTTTTCACCCTCGCGAACACTGAGACATCACTGAACAGTTGTCGTCTGGTCGTCATAATGAAATCAATCTCATTTTTTGTCGAACCGTCGGGGCTCGACCAGGTCCACTTCCTGTGGGGCCGCTTCTGGAATAAAGAGTTCATCATAAAGAGTCCCTCTTTCTCCATGAAGTCGGTCAGCTGCTGGCCCCTTGGGTTCCGTTGCCCTATTTCAAATTTCCCCACTTTCAGCACACCGTTCTCTCTTGTGCCTAGTTTTGCATTGAAGTCTCCCATTAACACCGTATATTGGGTTTTGGAGGAATGCATGGCTCTAGAGATATCCTCATACATTTCCTCCACCTCCTGATCGGGGTGTGCCGAGGTTAGTGCCTAAACCTGTATGACCTTCAGCGAATATCGTTTGGTGATTCTGAGTATAAGTTACGCAACCCTCGTCGACACACTCTCAATCTTTACAACGTTGTTAACGAGAGACTTGTGAACGATAAATCCGACACCTCCTTGGGACAGATGGTCGCTCTCCCGGTAATAGAGCAAGTTGCCGGATTCGAGGATTACCGTGTCCTCCCCCTCTCTTCGGACTTCGGATAATCCTATAATATGCCAGCGTAACTTGTCTATCTCTTCTTCCAGCTCCACAATCTTCTCGTCAGTCCTCAGGGTGCGTGCGTTGTATGTTGCCAGGTCGAGTCGTCGTAGGTGGCAACCGAACCTCCACCGGAGATTCTTAGCACCCCCTGCCCCGCCGTTACCATGGTCGCCACCGTAGCCAGGAATAGCGGGGCCGCCGGGGACTGGGGGCCGTCTCTTCGTAACTTTCATCATGGGGGGTATATTACCATAGTTGCCACGCTTGGCGAGCGGGTTGGCAACCGCAGTTTTTTTATTGTATTTTTGCCGTTACCAGGAAGATGCTGCTGCCCATCTCCTGCCTGTTTCCCTTTGCCGCCTTTTACGACACCCACGGGAAGATATGGGGTAGTGGATATTCTTAACCGCCACTACACGGCCTTTTGAGGTACGGAACCCTAAAAAACTCATAATATTGAAACAGATTAATACGAAATAAAATAAATCTATTTAGAAATTCGATTGAATAGCCTACATTATTAAACTAAGCAAAATATTTGAATAATATCGGACACGATTAATAGGCTGTATGGTCGTTGACATTGCCTGTTTCGAAGGATACTTAATTTGGTAACTTCGAGTTTAAACTTGTCATGGAAATTTGGCATTGTGGTTGTGTTTGTGAATATATTTCGTGTTTTTATTTTCATTAATTAATTTAACTTGATCCTTGGCTTTTCTCTCGATTTACAGGGTACGACTTTCTATTGACTCCCATCGAGTTGGGGATTGATACGTATTTTTACAGAAAAGTTACACTATTATAAGCACACACACAAAGTTACAATATGCGGAAGCGCGTAATTTTTGAGAAAAAAATTATTGAAAATCAATTATTCTTGCCTTGTTTATGTCTAATCCTAAAATAAAACTGAAGCCATTTTTATTGTTATTGTCAGTAGGGATGTCGATTCTTTCCGAAAAAGATCGAATTTTTAAATAGATTCGAATTGTAAGCTGATGTATCGATTCCCAAAAAAAAGGTTTCTAAAATATCTATATTTTTTATGATTGCATTTATAACGTCTTTAAAATAATCGATTTAAAAATCGACCTTTTTCGGAAAGAATTGACATCCCTACTGACGACAATGACATTATAAAATGGCGTCAGTTTTATGGTAGGATTAGATATAAACAATGCAAGAATAATTGATTTTCAATAATTTTTTTCTCAAAAATTACGCATTTCCGCATGTAACTTTGTGTGTGTGCTTATAATAGTGTAACTTTTCTGTAAAAATACGTATCAATCCCCAACTCGACGGGAGTCAATGGAAAGCTAAGCCTTTATTGAAACAACTTATCCCAAGAACGAGTGATTTAACTACATAACCTACAAATAATAAAACAAAATACATAAAAACAAAACCCCAGGTCCTACACAAATATGATTTTTTCTCACAAGTAACAAATGTTTAAATCTTCAAAATAAGATATATTTGAACTTTGTTCACGCCGGGCCCAAGCTTGTATGGAACGAAGTTCATCTCCTTTTAAGAATGTTACGAAAAAATTGAATGAGAAACAGATGAAAGATTACAAGATGAAATAAATTACCATTATGACTTCGAAGATATTACAACGTGTATAAAGGATAAACTACTCCAGTTTAAAAAGAAAACAGATTATTGCCAAGACCAGGAAGTTGTAAGCACATCCAGCACCACTGGTCCTCAGAGTACAATTAGAGCCATTACATGAGAAGGAAACATTTAGAAATTTTATTAAAATATTATAATTACATCTGTTACTTAACAGTATTGAAGATTTTCAGGTGAACGTTTACGTCCTTTTATCATCAGTCTCTTCGCTGCGGGCTGTTGATGAGACGTCATATCGATCATGTGTTTTCTGTTAAGATAAAAGAAGTTCCGGCAGAGAAACAGTATTTGCGGTGGAGAGACTGATGTGTCCTAAGCCTAATTTGAGTAATATATTTCAAGCCCAAGCTTTTAAATATAGTTTTACTGCGTTACCTTAGTAACGGAATCAATAATTCTATGACATTATAAATCAATGATTTCAAAAGGAAGGATACGCCCATCTAAAGATTTTACATATACCTTCTTCATACAAGCCACATCCACCATCTGTCATAACACATACAAACTACATGAATGCCGCGTTGCATTGGTTGACGATGTAACCTGGAGTAGATTTCGAAGTATAGTAATTATTCAAAGGCTGTAGTATGTAGTATCCTAATAAATAAAATAAATAATAAATAACAATAAAAATACATTTATTTCTCAATAATACTATTTCATAAATTAGTGGTGAAACAACCCCAAAAAGTAATTTAGTTCCTCATGTTGGGGTGTTTCATTCTTACCTTGGGGCTTAACTTACTGTACTATGCCACTATACTATGCGAAAATACCATAATTTTATCTTCAGGTCGACCGACTTGTATTATTGGTGGTCCTTTTACTTTTTAATATTTAACCTACAATATCAAAAAATTCTGTATGTTCGGCTATACCAAATCAGGCAATGACAGGGTAGGCGGGAATTCTTCATGTGATGTTTTACTATCACAGTCGTTTTGACAGAGACAATATCATGTTCAAAGCAATACTTTTGAATTTGCTATGAACAAGATTTCATAATGCAATTTTATTACAATTCAAAACAAAAACGCCAAATAATGAAACATATAGATAGGCTAGATGTGTGACGCAATAACACCGGTGCATGGGAAAAAAACCATGAAACGTCAAATATGAGCACCTTGAAATATTGTGATATAGACATCTTCATCCATCCATAAAACTATTTTATTATTTTCTCTAGGTAAATGTTTATTTAGCATATTATGTTTATAAAATACCTTAGCATAGCAGTAGTCCAACATCTTCTCAAAGAGATCCCAATTGTCCACCTGTCCATCCTTCATATATGTTTGAATCTCCATTCCAGGCCTTGGCACATGTATTTCTGTCACATCAATGTAATGGCGGAGCTCATTGCCTGTTTTTGCAGCTACAAGAATAATTTGATTTTTACTACATAGATAGTTTGAATTAATTTGTTATTCTTCTTCAGCCATGTCACAATTTGATTTAAAAACAGTACAGTACAGAGTACAGTAAAATGTCAAGTACATTTAATATAAAATATTGGTGGTCTTACAACTTATTTTTAATTTATCTTAATTACAGGAGTGTCAAAACATATATTAAGGTCATGAAAGGAAACAAAAGTTGTTGTTCTGTATACATATTTAAAATAGCAAAGTTATAGTCCATTTCAAATGAAATCAGAAACAATATCACAACTTTTACCAAAATAAAATTATTTGTGATGCAACATTTGAATTAATTCAATATTCAGGTACAATGCAAATAAAGTTATCCAGATGATGAAACCTAGACCATAAAGAAGTTTCTGGTTAATAATTATAACTAACTAAAAAAAGTAAAAGCAGACTTCTTGCTAAAAAAAAGTTATTTATGTGCTACGCTTGGGGTGGAATTTTTTCTCCAAATTTATATGGGACCACCCCTGACATATAACCTATTTAATAAATAAAGAATCATCAAAATTGTTTCACAATCTGCGATAGTATTGTGTAAAGGTACTGGGCCGTTTTGTGTGTATTTGGCGTTTGCGGCCAACACTTGCCAACAAGCCGTATAGTGTCGGTTTTCCGTGCAAAAATCAAGGAAATTTGACGCAAGCCGCAAATAGCGATCACACGTTGGCCGAGTGTTCAGTTCATAGTTATGCTTTAAGGCTTAATAAAATTATTTCACGAACATGGCGACATGGACTAATGAGGAAATATTTAGGTTCATTGATTCTTATCACAATGAATCAGTTATATGGAACCTCAAACATGAGCAACATAAAAATAAGGCCGCGATCACTAACATCCATCATCATCTAGCTACCAACGCAGAATGAAGCACACCAACGTGTGAAATACATACAAAAAAAAAATACACTTGAATTGAATCCTCCTCATTTTTTAAGTTGGTTAAAAACTCAAGTGGTTTTATAAGAGTTAAAGAACACACGGTCCACTTGATAGTAATCATTGATTAAAAATCAAAATGCAAATGTGCTGTCACCCCTTATACTGCAAAAACTTCAAATCTCAATGTAGAAAAACCAAAAATTTCATAGAGAAGTAATAAGCTTCTGAAGGCTAAAAGAAAGGTCTTTTGAATAAGCATGAGCTGAAAAACAGAGGAACTAAGTTATACTGTCTGCAAAATTGTTTCATTTCACTGTGAAAGGATGATGATCTATTAGCAAGTTCATTTCTTCCTTTTTTTAAATGATATCTTAAAATAAACAACAAAAACAGTTAAACGATCCAACTTACCACTCTGAGTGATGTTGCCGTCTGGAACCTTTTCTTCAGCATCAGGTATATGTGTTGAAGGTCCAACGCCAATCACAGCAGGAATATCGGCTTTAGGAGTGTCTTCTTGGGCATAACCAACACGCAGGGAATGATGTCCCGGATCGAATACTAAAGCTCCTATTTCATCACCACCGTACAACATACCGTTAGGACCACTCATTTTGTTATATTCACAATTTAATAAGATTAACTAATTTAACTACTTCAGTCACAAAAATTAAGATAATGCATCAGTCGGCGCGAGACAAAATATTTTTTTGTTATTGACAAAATGACAATTGTTGTTTTTATTATTCGCTCGAAAGAGCAGGCAAAGGAACTACGCCATACAGCCTTGTCTTTTTATTTTGAGTATATAGAATTTTACGGCTTCATAATATGATGATGCGTCACATTGTACAGCCTTGGGAGATTTTGACGGCAACTTGAGCCAGCAGACAGCTGACAGTTGGCGATGGTATCTAAAGGCGCCTATGCAAACAAACAGCTTATCTTGAGAATCCAACACCATCAGAGGACTTGTTTCATCGTTTCCACTAATAGTTCACATGCGTAGACAGTTAATACACAAAATCGCACCACTTTTACATATCAAAGTCCACTTCAAACCATAATTTAAACAATAATACAGGAGCAGCAAACCTCCGCCGGACAAGTTCCCGCCAAAACTCCTAAAATGACAATTATACTGTAAATGGTAGTAGCTGTCATTACAATTTGCCATTTAAGGGAGACACAGAATTTAGACCATACAGCCTAGTCTAATGTATATTTTATTCACAAAACTCTACACAGTAAGCTGATGCGTCACATTACATAGGTATTATGGTAGCTTAATCTGCTTAAGCCAGCGAAGTTCCAGGTATCAGGAAAGTCGATGACGTTGACGATAGTATCCCAAGCCACTCAAGCGGATAAATGTGCCTGACTGGGTGTTCTTACAAAAAATTGAGCATGATTTTTGCATCACTTGAAATGTACGTAACGTAACGTACCACTTTGTATTTAGTTTGATCTGAGATAGCTAAAAGAAATTTTGGGCCCATTACATCGCTACTAGTCGCCGCTAGAATACGACATATATTTAAATGTATAGTCTAAATATGATGTATTTATATATCACCAATGTATATTTAATAAGTTAATATCAGCTAAGTCGTGGGGAATACCAATAATTATTCATAATCCATATACAGTATTTTAAAAATATAAGTGGTAAGGGATTTGAATGGAAACTAAGTAGTGCACTTTACGGTGGTGGTGTTAATAAAGTAAAGAAATAACAATATATACTTATATCATATAAGCAAACACGACAAACGAGCTTAAAGGCCTTCTACACGGTCGGGACCAACCACCAACCGTCGTGACCTTGGTCGAGTTGATGTAAAAATGGACAGTGTAGACATCGGTTGTCTGACCAATATTTTGGTTGGTGTCCGACGGCCTTGGTCGCGAGCGCATCACTCACGACACGTCGGGTCCGTGGTTGGCGCCGACCGTGTGGAAAGCTGTCGGCCGACGAGTCGACGAGAGCGCCAGCCGGTCAGCACAGAGTACTTTTATATATACTGAAACCGGTCAGGCGCCTCAGCGGTCTCAGTGCGCGCTTGGCAGTCGTCGCCATAGATAAGAGTGGTCGTCGCTCGCGGGCGAACGTTTAACGGCACTATCACAGAGTACTTTTTATAGGGCACTATGGATACCAACGGAAGCAAAGAACGTGAGGTTATGACCGAGTTCTTGTCTTTGTACTGTAATTTACTATGTCTTTAGGATATTGGCTCGGATTTATATAAGGACAGGAATAAAAAAATGCAAGCATGGGAGCTTTTGAAGGACAAGCTTCAAGAAATTGAACCCGAGGCAAACATCGCTGCAACGAAGAAGAAGATTGAGCATATGCGATCGGCTTTTAAGAGAGAGTACAAAAAGGTGATTTTTTATAATGCCTACTATACTATTTGTTTCAAATAAAAAAGTTAATCGCGATGACATTATAGCAATTCTTTGCTAGTTAATGTTATTCGTTGCCAATTATTTTATCCTTTACTTAATTGTACAGACAAATAAAGCATTAATTTACTTCCATTTTTAATGTAGATAATGATTTTAGTAGATAGACTACTAACATAACCTTTAAACGAAAAATACACAATTTTCTATTCATCATTAACTGTAATTAAATAATCTTTAAGTACTTATAATAAAAACAAAAGGGCTGCACGATAACTAAGCCTATCTTTGTCTTGTTATTTTCTTAGGTTAAAGAATCAAAACGAACGGGAGCAGGAGCCAATGATGTCCATGTTCCTAACCTTTGGTACTATAATTTGCTGCTGCCTATCTTTAACAAGAAAGATGAACAATCGAGATGCGGTGTGGACACGCTGTCCAGTGATGAAGTGAGTACCTAATTTTAATATTTTGAAAAATAGCCTAAACAAATTTTTAAGGCAAATTTTACTTTGACATACTTTGCTCCTAAAATAAATAAAGGCGCTATATTTTCTCTAATAAAAAGAAGACAAAAACTAGATTTCGTATAGTGTTTAATTACAAAATCATAAAACCAAATCACAAAACTATCTTACGAAATTACAAAATTCTAAGATTCTTATAGTTTCTATTGTCCACTAGATATTTCAATATAATGCCGCAAATTACTAAAGAAAAACCATAAACAATTTTATTCTCTTGTTTCCATGACTATTTCAACCATTTTTTCTTGAAAGCATACTTTGCCACTTGTATTAAAATAATCCATTAAGGTTTTTCTCACTTGCTACCCCTCATAAGTATTCCTTTCACCAGTTCGATGAAGAGGGGTTAGGGCACCTTGTTGTCGCCAGTCTCCAGTTCTAAATATTTGATGTTGTAAGTCTTCATAGTCAACACTTGAAGGGGTCCAATAAATTTTCGACTTTTGTCTTAGAAAGTTATGTAACGCACAACTGGCTAGAACAATTGCATCCAGATTTTCAATTTTAACACTAATTGGTTGCCTAAATACTCTGAAACGTGAAGCAAGAATGCCGAAAGCATTTTCAACAACTCTTCTAGCTCGGCATAGACGATAATTGAATATTCTTTTTTCCTTACTGATGTTCTTATCGGGGAATGGTTTCATTATATTTGTTTCAAGTGCAAATGCACTATCTCCTAAAAAAACATACGGTACTGTTAAGTTTGTACCTGGCAGTATAAATGATTCTGACAACTTAAGGTCATCGTTGATAAGTTTTTCATAGAACCTGGTGGATTTGAGTATTCCTCCATCTGACATACTTCCATTTGAACCCGTATGAACATAAATGAATTCGTAGTTTGCATTGACAATTGCAAACAACACCACACTAAATGTACCCTTATAGTTGTAGAACAATGATCCCGTTCCGGATGGTTTTTCGATTATAATATGCTTACCATCCATGCAACCTACACAGTTGTGAAATTGCCATTGTTCTTGAAAAGATTTCGCAGCCATGTCCCATTCATATTTCGATGAAGGTAACTGAAACAATTTTTTTTTTTCAGGAATCCAGATCATCAGAACATGAGAAGGGCAGAAAAAAGTTAAATACATTGCAGATAAAAAAAAATTAATAAATACTGCTCAAGAATTATTGCAAGATGATAGAAAAGAAAATCAGAAAGAAATAAATTCATTTGGTTTGTACGTAGGAGAACAACTTGATCAGGTTGAAACATTTCAAAGCCAAGTGGCTGAGAAATTAATTTCTGATGTTCTTTTTCTGGCAAAAACAGGAAACCTTAATTTTGAGTCAAGAATCGAAACAAAAAGATCCCGAAATTTTCATGCTTTTCAGATGTCATCATCACCATATACCCGACTATCACCATCCCCAAATTACATGCAGTCATCATCATCTCCATATCCCATTCAGACATTAACATCACCACAACAAAGTCACCCATCACCATCCCCAAATTACATTCACTCATCATCATCTCCATATCACATTCAGACATTAACATCACCACAACAAATCCACCCATCTCCGTCCCCAAATTACATTCTGTCATCATCATCTCCATATCACCTTCAGACATTAACATCACCACAACAAAGCCACCTATCACCATCCCCAAATTACATTCAGTCGTCATCATCTCCATATCACATTCAGACATTAACATCACCACAACAAAACCAACCATCACCATCAACAAATTACATTCAGTCATCACCATATCTATATCATAACCAGTCACCACCATCACCACATCACACCCAGCCATCGCCGTCACCACATCCCACCCAACCATCACCACATCCGACCCAACCATCACGATCACATCCTACCATACCATCACCTAGTCATCACTCTACATCTAATGATACAAATATGATAATATACGAAGGACCGGCTCGTGGAATTAGTGAATTCGTAATTTTTAAAAAGGAAAAATAAATGTCATTGTTATACACTACCTTGATTGTTTTCTTTAAAGCCTTGTATATCGCCCAACAAGTTTCAGGTATAATTTTTGAAAGCAATTGAAATGATGTAACTGTACTAAATCTCAGATCTTTATAACTTCTTCCCGTAGCCAAAAATCTTAATGTAGCTATTAATCGTTCTTCAGCAGACACGGCTTGACGCATAACTGTATTTTTTTTTGTAACCATTGGACGCACCATCTCAAGTAATTCATTAAAAGTATCTTGATCCATTCTTAGAAAATTCCGAAAGTCTTCAGAATCAAGAATCCTTAAAATATTGAGATGGTTTAAAGTAATGCGCTCTTTCAGCCACAATTTCATCCATTTTCTTTTTTTTCTTTTTTTTTCATCTTCGCTCAAGCACAGAAACGTTAACGCTAAACCGATTTTTTGTTGTTTGGAAAAGCAAGGAGCCATATTTACAAGTAACTACCTTACGTCTTTACGCTTTGAATACCGGAGAGAACTGACATGTTGAGTCAACCACCCGACCGTGTAGAACAAATATTGTATTCGGTTGACCCGACCAAGGTCACGACGGTTGGTGGTTGGTCCCGACCGTGTAGAAGGCCTTTTATACTCACCAGAAACCTAAATCTATCCTCGATTGAGGATTAAAATACAAAATCTAAATGCGTCATTTGCGAGGACCAAGAAGGAACGCATTGTGACATGGTAAAGAGCCTCAGATTCTCGTCACGCAACATAAGAAACAGCATCATGTTACTATTTTAAGATTGTATTTTGCAACAGCATGGTCTTCGCCTGATGAGCCGACCTATGAATAGGTATTATTTTAGTTTTTAATCTTAGTAAAGTTAGACAACGCATCTGTAGTCCGTTACTTGCTTGGTGGTGGACTTACTGGGTTCTGTTTAAAAAAAAAACACTATTAATAATTAAATATCTGGGGGATCGGGATAATATATTGTAAAAGATTAAAAAAATGATACTACAGTTATATATTTTATTACAACATAAAAAGAGGAGTATTCACAGCTAATTAACATCGAAACACGGAATTACATTTCACACAGTATACACATAAAATATATTACGCTAACACATATTACTACATAGATTAAAATTTAATTTCCCAACGTTGCCGAACATGCACCAGTAGGCCTCAAGTAAAAATATTTTTTTAGAAAACACGTACAAAGCACAAGTGACAGTTCATCATAGGAACCATTCTGAAAGGCGATGATAATACATAAGAATGATTTCACATAATAATAATAATCATAGCTCAGACTCTATAACCTTCTTTTCAACCGGCTTCAAAGAAATAACCCCCCCCAGTCTTAATTCTATGGATTTTTTTTATATCAATGATAATTCTTGTGGTCATATTTGAAAGAGGTGTACGAGGTGGACCTACATAGGTAAATTTGTTCCAGATTATCAGAACTGGAACAAATTTACCTATATGGGACCAATACGTACTAACGTTATCCAACATCAATTTGCGAAAGCATCTGCACGACATATGGATGAATAATTCTTTACCACGCCCAACCGATTTCGATCATTAAATTTTTTAAAGTTCTCTGAAGTCAATTTTTACTTTTTTGAAGTTTAAATATTATAATATAAAAAATATAAGCACTTACAATATTTTTCAAATCTGCGAGATTAATGGTGATTTAACATGTTTACCACTGTTAAATGATGATCTAACAGTGGTAGAGCCACGCGGCAGCTTTTGCTGCCGCACGGATTTGCCGGCTCGATCCGGGGTGGTACCATGACCTCACAGAATACCAGCGTAAAGTAGAGGTTTACCTCTGCGTTTCACTTGGTGAGTGCAGGTGGCGGAAGGCCCTTTTTACTGGAAGTGAGACATTCCATCTTAGTCCTCACGGGTGACAACGCATCTGCATTGGGATTTGTAATAGAGGATAGATGTAGATGTCTATGGGCTGCAGTAACCACTTACCATCAGGTGGACAGTGTGCTCGTTTGTCACCCTTATCCTATAAAAAAAATGAAATCGTAAACAGTTTGTACGGATTGGTTGAAAGACATTTGAGTCTGCGTTTATGTATAAACAGAAAAAAATATATAAAAAGAATGGTGTTTTAGAATTGTATATTATACTACCTAGTACCATTTAATTATTCAGTATAAAATATTTAGTATTTTGTCCTTATTTAAAAGTTGTATAATATTATATTAAAATACAGATATACACGTCTCTACTACTACGTCTACTTTTATCATTAAGAGAAGATATTATAACCTATAAATAGGTAATATTGTGTATATACCGTAAACATGGGTGAATAGAACTGACGGGGGGAATAGAAGAAACTACTGGGTATAATTTCAAACATTTTATGTGGCAAGCTCAGCTAGCCCTACAAAAATTCCGCTATTGTAAATTGTAGTATTGTGTTTCTTCATCTGGCAAACTTTTAAGTATGGCATTGTTAAAAATAAAAAAAAATAAACGTGAAAGTTAACGGTAAAACATTCGGGTAGAATCTAGTATTTACTAGTTATAGTTAGTCTGTGTCTGTGCGTAAAACAAGTGAACAGAATTAGTACAAATACAAGATGAGTGGTTGGATTCATTATAGAAGCAAAAAAAATATATATATCCATTTTTTATTGGATCTAATTTACCTGTACAGAATCCTAGAGCATTTTTTGTAAAGAATCAACATAAAAAACCAAATTTACTTATAACATTAACAACTAAAGATTTAGAGTTGGCTGCTAGCTTCACTTTCCACACGGCAAAAATCGGCTCTTTAAACCTTGATCATGCAAGAACATTTCTATACTTATATGGCCAAACACTCAAAGGTCGTCTTGATGTGGATTGGACCTCATATGATGTAAAAATAGGGTTGGCAGGTGAAGAAATTGATTGTTGGGCCATGTATGATGTGACAATCACAGAAAGTAAAAAGGAGGGAACTAAAGAGCCCATTAGTCCCAGTGGATACTTAAGATTGGCACTCTATGTATTGTCTGTTTATAGAATGATCAGAGTGAACAACTCTGAATATAAAACAGCGATCATAGATCGTTAGAATCTCCAGTTGAGGGTTGCAGGCGAAGCAGATGTTGAGGTAACTGAAGCGTTATCTACTTATACCAACTGGCATAGAGATAGAACATTTAATAAAATGGTAGCAGGAATTGATATTGTTCTTGGTGCGATTCCCTCAACATGAAGCCAACATTTAAGAATGGGCACCAGTATGTTCCGTTACCAGGACTGTGCAGCATTCAAGTCATACGGCTTCTTGATGAAACAATTGAGAACTACACAGTTAACTGACATACTGAAATGGGCATTTGTAAAGTCCATAAGTGATGATATCGATCAGATGATAAAAGTTGATGAGGAGCTTGAGGATCCGTATTCCTATTTTCCATGGCAGGTAGATATGGGTCTTGTCACTAAATCGGCCTACTCTACCACTGTAAATCCACGTTTCTTCTTTTTCGCTCATGCCATCGGAACTCTTTTATTCTCTGATAGAACCAAAAATATGATCTTCACAAAAGAAGTGAATATGTCTGACATTATATATAATGCTACAGTTGTGGCATTTGTTCACTCAAAAGGGCATAATAGAACTAAGGTATACACATATACAGAGGAACCATTAACTAGTGCAGATCAAGATGATGATGATGATCTGGATGACTCCATAGACGGAAACGACAGAGACATCAGTCGAATTGAAGGGGCACTTGAGAAGGCAGTATACAACTCGCGAAATGCTACTGAATGGTTCGTGTATTTAAAAGCTAAGAATGGGAAATTACCTCCCAGGATATATAAATACTTTACAACCTGCATTAAGAAACTTAAGGATGTGCGTGAAGGGACGATCGGTTATTATTTGTCGAGAGAACCACTTCATTTAAAGTTAGCTTAATTTGTGAGTGTGGATTAGACGAAGGTACGATCGATCATAAATTTTTTAACTGCCGCAACCTCTCCATTTCATTACACAATTTTCTTCCTAATAACATCCCTCGTCCTGAAAATCTTAAGTCTTTATTAAATTTAGTTTACACTCCTTTTGTACAAACTTTATTACACTTCATATCCGTTAATAACATTAAACTATAGTACTTTTGCCACGTACCTATATCCATTTTATTATATAAGAAA